TTCTTTGAGAGGCCGAGGCAGGCGGAGCAGCTGAGGTCAGGAGTTGGAGACCAGCCTGGCCAACATGGTGAAACCCTGTCTCTACTAAAAATACAAAAATTAGCCAGATGTGGTGGCATGGCCTGTAATCCCAGCTACTAGGGAGGTTGAGGCAGGAGAACTGCTTGAACCCAGGAGGTGGAGGTTGCAGTGAGCCAAAATCGCACCACTGTAGCCTGGGCAACAGAGCAGAAGACTCCATCTAAAAAAAAAAAAAAAAAGTTTACAGAAATCCTACCTTATAGTCAAACTGATTAAAATTAGGTTTACAAGGTTTTATTAAAATTAGCTTTAACATTAAAAATATACCATACAAAGGTAAAATTTGATGTTCTCTTTTGAATAAGATGTTTGTATATTATTAATGAGATAAAATATTTGTTTACCTTTTGAGTAAACTGTAGGGGGAAGAAAAAGGAGAGGGAGAGACATTTAGTTGGCCTCATGCTGTCTTTATTAGGCCGTATTGTTTAGGAAACTGAGTCATCTATCAAAGGGTAAATGTTTTATGTTTTTGGCTAAATGAATAAGAATTTTATAGTGACCTGTGATCCTATTTTGTGATATCAAGTGTCTTAAATCTTTGATAACTGACAGACTTCCCAACAGCAAAAATTTCAAGTTCTAAATTCAGGTTTTTTGTTATTACCTCAAACTAACTTTTTTGTATATTAGCTTCCTTGAAGTCCAAGAGAGACATGTTAGGCTTCTTTGGTATGTTAGAATTATACAGGAAGCATTATCAAATGTGAGGTGGTATTTAACTTGCTTTGGGTTATATTTATATAGATGTGCTATTAATATGTGTTGCAGGATTATATGAGATTCCTAAAATTCTGATATGTCTTAATATATGGTGTCAGTAATGATGATTATTATGTTAAAGTGTTGTATGCCAACAGAAAAAAAAAATTTCCTTGCCAACTGTGTCTTTATGGCTCTCCTAAGACTTTTGTCATCACAATTGTTTTGCATCGATTCTTCTCAAAAAGTGACTTATAATCAGATGTAGTCCAGAGATTATTTATTTAGGGGACTTCATGAAAAGGAGTCTTGAATGCAGATTTCTGATAACTTTGGAGATTGTGCCACTGGAATACAGAAAACTTCTAAGACTCTTAGAGTCCTAGAAAATGTCCTACAGAAAACTTCTAGAGTCCCTCTTAATTAAAAGAATAACATGTTTATAAAGATGACTAACCCAATATGAAGCACAGCAGGAATTGATTGCATGGACTGAACTAATGTGAGACTGAAATAATTTTTTATGGTTGTGTTTGAAAAAGTCTGGAGAATTTTTGTTTTTCAGAATCTGGAGAATTTTTTTCTTTTAAGCTTCGTAGCCTTTAGAGAATACAAAAAACTAGCCGGGCGAGGTGGCGGGCGCCTGTAATCCCAGCTACTCGGGAGGCTGAGGCAGGAGAATGGCGTGAACCCGGGAGGCGGAGCTTGCAGTGAGCTGAGATCCGGCCACTGCACTCCAGCCTGGGCGGCAGAGCGAGACTCCGTCTCAAAAAAAAAAAAAAAAAAAGAATACAGTATATTAAGTAGAGTATACCCTTGTAAACAGAATTTAAGGCATTTTCTCTCTCCCTAATTTCTCCAGAATTTATAAACTATTTGTGAATACTCTTAATTCATGGCAATGTGTTTTCTTGCATACATTTAATAAAAATCTATTTTCTTTTATAATGGGACACAGTTGGAGGAACAAGTTATTTTCCCAGGGCTTTGACTGAAATGGCCTTGTGAGAGGTTCCAGCAAAGCCAATTAGGAGAGCCCATATAGACAATAATTTTTGCTGCACTTTGTGTGGGTAAATAAGCCAAGTATATGTAACTGAGGCTTATTTTGCAGGTAGGCCCACCCTGGTGTGATATGTCTTTGGTGGAAGTGGGGAACAGCAATGATATAGATTGTGTCTCAGAAAAAACTATAGTATTAGATTAACTTTTGATTCCTGGGTGGCCACGTGGTCACCCATAGTATGGAACTGCACCCACACCATTCCTCAGCATGAAGCTGCCAGAAAGATTGAGGATCAGATTCCCCATGATCCAGGAAATGATAAATAGAAAGAGGGGGACTGAAACCAACACAATAGTCCCATATACAATTCTTTCGAATAAACACAGAAATTGACCCTTCTGATCTTAAAGCTGAAACTTATATTTGTTTTATCTGAGTTCCTTCCCCAGGAAAGGGACACCCAGGCCTCTCAAAAGATATAAAAGAACTGAAACTCATCAGATCATCACATCCGGACAATGAGACACCAGTCCCCTCATTTCTCATGATTGCTTCCTCACCCCTCCAGAGTCCATTTTCCAACACCTAGTTATATTTCTTTTCTTCTATCCATACCCCTAATTTCAATGGGTCAGGGAGATGGATTTGAGACTGATCTCCTACCTCCTCTGCTGCAGCTCCCAATTAAAGCCCCGGTGATACTTGTCGTCTCAGTGATTGGCTTTCTGTGCAGGCAGCAACAGAACCTAGGCTGAATCCCTGGTGCTTCAGTAACAATCGCACCCACTCTCATTGTTTCAGCAAGGATCTCTACATTAATGTCTCCCCAACTGTGGACCCTTTTCCTGAACTCCACACCTGTGCAGCCAACAATCTGATGAACATCTCTTCATTGATGTATCCAAGGCATACAAACCCAGCATACCTAAATCCGAATTTTTCTCCTCCTGCAAACCTGTCCCTCTTCCCACATTTCCTATCTCAGAAACTACCATTTATTCACCCAAGGACCAAAGCCAGAGACCTGGAAGTCATTCTCCACCCTGTCCTCACCCTTACCTCCTCACCACAACTCCCCAAGAGACCTATTGATTATACTTTCCAACTGTGTCTTGAATCCATCCATTTCTTCCCATTCCTCTGGATTCCTATTTTCCTAACTGGTCTCCCTGCTTCCAGATTTTCCACTCTGCTGTCCTGGCATCATTGTATCTGCCCTTCTCTTTCTCCCTGTCTTGTACCTATCCAAGCAATTCCTCAAACTGAAGTCAAAGTCGTTTTTCTACAATGCAAATTCTATTTTGGTCCCCTCTCCTTATCACATTTCAGTGGATAAAGTCCAAAACTGTTCATAACCCACTTCTGCTTGCCTCTCAAGTCTCATCTCTCTCAACTCCTGCCTCTCTCTCCACAATGCCACCATACTAATATTTTCTGGATACCTGGAACACTCTGGTTTCTCTTTCATCTCGGACCTTTGCACATAAGGAGCCCTCTAACTGCAATTTATTATTGTCTCCTTCCAGCTAATTTTTTCTCCTCCTTCATACCTCAGTTCAAATGCCAAATATCTGAGAAGCTTTGGCTGTGCCCTTTGGACTCTAGTAGACATCCCAGCTTTTTTCCATCAAAGCACTGCTGCACTTTACTATTTACTATTTTGTTACCTGCATTCACATACGCACACTAATCACTATTAGGGCAGGGGCGGTTTCTACTGTGCTCCTCATTGCTTCCTCAGCTTTCAATGACACGCCCTATTAGGTAGTTCAAGACAGCTGTCGCCCAGGCTGGAGTGCAGTGGTATGATCTCGGCTCACCGCAACCTCCGTGCCTCTGGTTCAAGCGATTTTCCTGCCTCGGCCTCCTGAGTAGCTGGGACTACAGGCGTGCACCACTACGCCTGGCTAATTTTGTATTTTTCAGTAGAGACGGGGTTTTATCATATTGGCCAAGCTGGTCTTGAACTCCTGACCTTGTGATCCTCCTGCCTCGGCCTCCCAAAGTGCTGGGTGCAGGGAGATGAAGGCCCTTGGGACCGTGACCAACTCAGCATTCCGCTGGAGGCTATATGATCAAACAACAAACTGCTTATCATGAATGCAGTAGGTAGGCAAACTCACACTGCCTTGCCACCAAAAGGTTTGCTGAGAGCCTCACTCCCTGGTGCTGGGCTCCTTGAAATTATTTATTGAGAAATCCAGCACCTATTGTTCGAAGAATGCAGTCTTGCAAACCTGCTGTGAATCAAGCTGCCCACCGTCAACCACCCCCCCTTGTCAACCACCCCCACTTCTCACTCTTTTGCCTAATAAATAAGGAGGGCTGTGTAAAGCTCAGGGCCCTTGTCCACTAGACGCAAGGTGCCCCCTGATCTCTTCTTCCAAATATACTCTTTTGTCTCTTGTCTTTTATTCCCACGTTTGCCCCCCTTTGTTCAGTCCCCCTAGGTCCGTGCGGGTTTCCTAGTGGCACCCCGAACAGCAACAGCATCGGGTGCTCTACAACTGGGATTACAGCGTGAGCCACTGCGCCGGGCCTCATCGATATCTTGTAAGTACCACCTCCTTTCACCTCTTTCCCAAAAGCCTCTGCTCATCGCCAGCAGAAAGTAATGTGATACAAATTTACAAATGGTCATTACCCAGGATCACCTGTCTCCGAAGCTAGATGGAAACACCTGTATTAAAGCCTAACGTCTGGAAAAGTCCGGCTCCTCTCCAGCTTCCAGTTCTTTGGATGTGAAAATAAGACTCGGCAGAGTAAGCATCAACTTCCTTTAAGCTCAGAGCGCATTTTGTGCTCAGTACAGTAATTATCTGACCTTTGTGTCCCATCCCTTGGGCTGTAATGTATACTAAGGAAGAGCCCTTATTTCATTTCTCAATCTCTGTCAGTATCCAGCCAAGCACAGTAGACTTTAATATTAGTGAAAATCAATTAAACAAACAGAACATTTCTTCCCCAGCTTTGAACTAAATAGATGAGCACCCTTAAACAAGTCGCTTCACCTCGCTGGAACTCAGTTTCCCCACCTAGGCCTCCGAGGGCTCCTCAAACTCTGGCAACCTCTAGCCTAAAATGCTGCGGAGATCTTACCACAAACTGGGGTGTCTGGCAGGCTATCTGTATAGATTAAAAGGGAGCGAAGCAAGAGAAAAACAAGTCCTCAGATGTATTCCGCCGAGAAGGCGCCGCTGGGGACACTCACCCTCCCTAAACCAGGGGGCCATGTAGCTCAGGATGTAGGTAGGGTCCAGGGTCTTCCGGATATAATCCTGGAAGGCTAGCAGGCTGCGCCGCTGCTCCGTAGTCATGCCGGCCTCTGCTTCCAGCTACGTGCCCGCCCGGCTGTGCCTCACTAGCTTTAAAGCCGGGTAGGAGGAGGGCGTGGCCAGCGGGGAAAGCAAGGATTTTCCGCTGAAATGATACCGGACGAGAGGCGGAGCTGCATGGGAATCTTAATAACTAAAAGGAAAATCGAAAGTGCAACTAGCGGTGGGCGGGGGCCGCGGAGGCTGTGCTGCCTCTCGCTAGTTTCGTTTCCCTCCGCACCGAGGAAGCCAGGAAAAGGAGGGGACCCCTAGGAACTGCTTTTATTTTTATGATCTTATATTTTGTTTTGCTTTTATAGCGCTAACGTTTAGATACTGTAAAATGCACACAATCTGAGTGTGCAATTCGATGAGTTTTGTAAAGTGTACACCGGTGTACCCAGCTCTCCCACGTCGGCTGGGTGCCAGGGTAAGTCGATGTTTAGCTTTATGGGAAACCGCCACCTGTTTTCCAAAATGATTGATTATATCCAGTTTACATTCCCACCTGCAGTAGGAGAGCTCCAGTAGATAGACATATTGGTCAGCCTTTCTTTTTTTTTTTTTTTTTAACTTCCATCTTGGTCGGTGTGAAATGGTATATTATTGTGGTTTTAATTTTAATTTCCCATATAATTAATGGTGGGCACATTTGCATGTGCTCACTGGGTCATTCATATTCTTTTGTGAAGCATCTGCTCCAATCTTTTCCCTGACTTTGGAGTTTTTTGTTTTATGGACTGACAGGAGTTTATTATGGATACAAAATTGTTAAATATATGTATTCGAAGTATCTTCTTCCAGTCTGTGGCTTACCATTTCATTTTCTTAAAGGTGTCTTTTGAGGAGCAGACACTTATATTGATGCAATTTTTCAGGTTTTTCTTCTGTTGTTTTTTGTGTCCTCTTTAATAAATCTTTGCCTACCCCAAGGTCATGAAAATATTGTTTCCTTTCAGATTATTTATATTTTTAGCCTTTACTTCTGGGTCTATTACTATCTCAAAATAATTTTGTTGTGGTGTGAGATGGGGGGTCCAGGTTCACTTTTTCCATATTTCTAATTGTTTCAGCACCATTTGTTGAAAACTTTTCCTTTCGCCATTGGATAGCCTTGGGACCTTTGTAAAAAAAAAACCAAGTCCATTGAATGTATGTGTGTCTATTTCTGACTCTTGTTATATTCTACTTTCTACTACTTATGACAATACCAGTGTCTCTTGGTTACTTTAGATATCAACTAAGTCTCAAACTTAGGTACTACTAAGTTCTCCAAATTTGTTTTTTCAATGTGAAGATACTAGCTATTTGAGATTCTTTGCATTCCTTTTTATTTATTTTTTTAAATTTCTTCTTTGAGACAAGGTCTCACTCTGTCTCCCAGGCTGGAGTGCAGTGGTGCAAACAGGGGTCACTGCAAACTTGAATCCCTGTGCATTTCCATATGAAATAAGAATCAACTTGTCAACTACCCCTTCCTCCCCCCAAAAAAAGCTTATTGGGATTTTGATCAAGATTGCATTGAACCTACAGATAAACTTGGGGAGAAGTGACATCTTAACAATATTGAGTCTTCTAATCCATAAGCATGGTATGTCTTTTCATTTACTAAGGTCTATAATTTCTCTCAGCAGTATTTTAGTTTTGTTTCATTTTATTTTACAGATGGAGTCTCACTATGTTGCCCAAGCTGGAGTGCAGTGGCTATTCAAACAGGCACAATTATAGTGTGCTACAGCCTTGAACTGGTGGGCTCAAGGAATCCACCTGGACTCAAGCAATCCTCCTACCTCAGCCATCCAGAGTAGCTGGGACTACAGGCATGGACCGTCACACCTGGCTATTCTGAACTATTTTATGTTATTTGATGATACTGTCAATGGAATTGTTTTTAAGATTTCATTTTCAAATTGTCTGTTGCTACTGTATAGAAATACAAATGACTGGCCAGGCGCGGTGGCTCACGCCTGTAATCCCAGCATTTTGGGAGGCCGAAGCGGGTGGATCACCTGAGGTCAGGCTTTCAAGACCAGCCTGGCCAACATGGTGAAACCTTGTCTCTACTAAAAGTACAAAAATTAGCCGGGCATGGTGGCAGGCGCCTGTAATCCCAGCTACTTGGGAGGCTGAGGCAGGAGAATCGCTTGAACCCAGGAATTGGAGGGTGCGGTGAGCCGAGATCACACCACTGCACTCTAGCCTGGGCGAGAGAGTGAGACTCCATCTCATGAAAAAAAAAAAAAAAAAAGAAATACAAGTGATTTTTGTTTTTTGACCTTAAAACAGGCAACATAGCTAACTTCACTTATTTGTTCTAGTAATTGTTCTGTAAATTCCTTTAAATTTTCTAGATAATGATGTCATTTGTGAATACATAATTTAACTTCTTCCTTTCCAATCTTTATGCCTTTTATTTCCTTTCATTACAGTTTTACTTTTTCTTTTCGAGACAGGGTCTCACTTTGTCAACCAGGCTGCTGTAGCCTCCACCTCCCAGGCTCAAGGATCCTCCCACCGCAGCCTCCTGAGTAGCTAGGACCACAGGTGCACACCACTACACCCAGCTAATTTTTGTATTTTTTTGTAGAGATGGAGTTTCACCCTGATGCCCAGGCTGGTCTCAACCTGCTGAACTCAAGCGATCCGTCCATCTCAGCCTCTCAAAGTGCTGGGATTACAGACATGAGCCACCACGCCTAGCCAGTTTTACTTCTTTCTTTCCAGTCTTCATGCTTTTTGCTTCCTTTCTTTATTACGGTAACTTCTAGAGTCTCCTATAGAAAGTAAAATAAAAGTGGTGACTGTTGACACCATTACTTTATTGCTAATTTCAGTGGGGAAATAAAAATGTAGTAATAATAACTTTAAATAATATGGTAGCTGTAAATTTTTCTCAGATACCTTTTATCAGATTGATGAAGTTCTCTTTTATTCCTGGTTTGCTGAGTTTTTATAATGCATGGGTGTTGAATTTTTCAAATGTTTTTTCCTGCATTTATTGAGGTGATCATATATTCTGTTAACATACCAAATTTCATTGATCAATTTTTGAATGTTAACCCAACCTACCATTCCTGGGGTAAATCTCATTTGGTTGTAGATACAAAGGATGCTATATCATGACCAAATGAGTATTTTCATAAATATTTTTGTGTCTGTGTTCATGAGGAATATTAGTCAATAATTTTATTTTCTTGTAATGCCTTTATCAGGTTTTGATATCAGAGTTATGCCAGTCTCATAAAACAAGAGTTTGCTTCAGATTGGTATCATTTTTCCCTTAAATGTTTAACAGAACCATTTGGGCTTGACATTTTCCTTGTTTGAAGATTCTTTATAATGAATTCAATTTCTCAATTAGATATAAAGCTATTCTGACTTTTAATCTTTAATCAGTTTTGATAAATTGTGCTTCTCAAGTGTTAAAATAATTGGTAAGCCATTAGACTTATGTAGCTCTAATACCCTCATGAGGAAAATGAAACTTAAGTTTAGCCAATCACAGTTGGCTAACTGGGATATTGGTTGTATTGTCATAAATTTCTCATTTGGATAGTCCAAATAAGGCAAACACTCAAACTTTAACCAATGAAACAATTTCTTTGCTCTGCAACCCCTTCTAACAGAGCCCCAAACCACTTCTGGTTTGTAACTGCTCAATTTATGAAGCACTGCTGGAATACCTTAAATTTTTTTTTGTTTGTTTGTTTGAGACAGAGTCTCACTCTGTAGCCCAAGCTGGAGTGTAGTGGCACTATCTCGGCTCACTGCAGACTTCACCTCTAGGGCTCAAGTGATTCTCCTGCCCCAGCCCCCAAGTAGCTGGGACTAGAGCCATGTGCCACCATACCCAGTTAATTTTTTTGTAGTTTTAGTAGAGACGGGGTTTCACCATGTTACCAGGGTGGTCTCGAACTCCTGAGCTCAGGTGATCCAACCCCCTTGGCCTCCCAGAGTGATGGGATTACAGGTGTGAGCCACCACGCCTGGCCAGCTTGAAATTTTAATGTGGAAAAGTTTATATTATAACACAAAGAATTTGATCATTTCCTCTAAATTGTTAAGTATATTGGCATATGGTGTTCATGATAGACCTTATTATCTTTTTGCCTTTTTAAAAAATCAGTCTTGGCCAGGCGTGGTGGCTCACACCTGTAATCCCAGCACTTTGGGAGGCCAAGGCAGGCAGATCATGAAGTCAAGAGATCAAAACCATCCTGACCAACATGGTGAAACCCCATCTCTACTAAAAATACAAAAATTAACTGGGTCATGGTGTGTGCCTATAGTCCCAGCTCCTCAGAAGTCCGAGGCAGGAGAATCACTTGAACCTGGGAGGTGGAGGTTGCAGTGAGCCAAGATCGCGCCACTGCACTCCAGCATGATGACAGAGCGAGACTCCATCTCAAAAAAAAAAGAAAAAAGAAATTCAGTCTTGCCAGGGATTTACCAATTGCATCTTTTCAAACAACAAATTTTTAATTCAATAATTTTAAGAGATAGGGTTTTGCTGTGTCATCCAGTAAAATGGACTCCTTTGATGTACATTAATCAAATATAACTTTAACTTCTTTTAGCTATAACTCTTTGTATTCTTTTAGCTATAGGTCTCTCTCCATACACACATATACATATATATTTGTATACACTCTATATATTATTTTATTCGTGTGTGTGTGTATTTAGTGGTTGCACTAGGGATTACAATGTGTATCCTCAACTTATCTCGATCTATTTAGAACTAATATTGTACCACATTAGGTAAAATATAAGACCATCACAACCATATAATTCCACCCCATCCTTTTTGCTATCATTGTCTGAAACTGTACTTTTATATATGTTATAAAATACATACTACAATAATACAATGTTATAAACCTTGTTATAGCTTGTTGTCTTTTAAGTAAAATAAGAAAAAACATAGTTTTTGTTTTTCCATGCTGTTTGCTATTGCTAGTGCTATTCATTGCCTCTGGTAAACACTCGTTTCCATCTAATGT